CTACCATTTAAAAACCAATGATAAAAATAAATTACAAATCTTGTAATATTTCATTAGTACTACACTGTCTACTATATTTGAAAAATAAAATATGTTTGTAAAAATGTATATTTATACATAAAGTTTGGAAAAGATTGGTCATGTGGCTTGGCTTGCCAGGTTTGAGTATGTAAGATAATTATTTTCGTTAATATTATATAGATCTTGTTGGTCTATTAGGTCAATATCAGCCGCTAGCTGAATTGTGTTAGCGATTTAATTATAAATAAATATTTAGTAAATAGCAATTTGTATAATTGATTTGACTAATGAATTGTGTGGTGATTTAATAGTTGATTTGAATAGTGAATTGTGTTAGTGATTTAATTGTAAATAAATATTTAATAAATAGTGGTTTAATTGTATAGTTATTTTAGAAATATTATATTGACATGTTATTCTATAAATCTCTCTTCTCAAAACTGCTCGTGTTAAACATTTTCATCATTCAGTTTTGCTATGGAGCCATCCGCACTTATTCACCAACAATGTATTGACACATGTCCTGCAATAAATACAATTTGGACAAGTGTCAATGGTGGATGGCTCCATAAAAAAACCATCCGATGGCTCCATAGAATTTTTGTTTCATCATTAGCGTTCTGAGTTCAAAAGGTTAGTTAGCAAATTTGATGGGTCGACAAACCTCTAAATGAGACTCAATCCATCAATTTACATCTATACTTATATTAAAAGGTATACCATTTACCAGATTTAGTATAAAGAAAAGTCAACAACGTTTATTGCATTCCTATTTCCGTATTACACAATCTATACTAATATAAAAAGAGATTCTATTTACTACATTTACAATCCAGAAAAGTCAACTGTATTAAATGCAATTACTATTTTGGTATTATAATATTTTATTTATTTAATTGATTTATTTATTTGTTTTATTTTAAAAAGATAAGTATAATAAAAGAATTTTAATATTAAAAAAATCAAATACCAAATAAAAATGTACACTTTGACTTATTTGATTATATTTGGTATTTGATTATACCAAATATATTCCTATTTAATATATACATTAAATACTTACTAAAGTATTTATTTGTTTTGTTTGTCAAACTTAAGTATAGATTTGTTTATATTATCAAATCATAAAAAAAAATATTAAATCTATATTGTCAAAAAAGAAAAAATCATATAATTTTATAACAATTCTACTACACTATTTAACAATATTTTTTTTATTATATAATAAAATAATAATTAAATATTATATGGTAAACAACAATAGGTAAAACTGTTACTTTCTGTTATATCAAGGGATAAATTTATATGCTAAAATTAAATATTTATTAGTATAAATGTTTTAGTGAGATAATATATTAATTATTTTACAAGCTAGCCCTAACATGCTCATATTTAATATTTTAAAAGATGTAGAAAAAAAACTTATAATAACTCTATTGTTTTTTAGACTTAAACGTTGGTCTACCATTTAGACACAACACATTAATGAATGTGTTTAGATGTTAAAGATTGACTAGTACAGAGCCCGTGCGATGCACGAGGTGTACAATTTTAAGGTTATTTTTCCAGGCTTATAATTATATACATGAATAAAGAAAAATGTACAGGATATATATAGTACGTGACCCGTGCGAAGCACAAGATATATTTATTTAGAGAATATTATATTATAAGATGCAATATTCAATAAAAGTTTATAATACGCAAGAAAATTGTACAATGTTCAATAAAATTTTATAATATTCAAGTGGAGTCTTAAGTCTCTTGTACATTAAAACTACTGACAAAATAATATTTTAATCAATGAGTTTCCTTTCCTTGTAGCCAAATTGTGAATGTGATTTGAGGAGTACAACAAATCGATATATAGCCGACTTACTTTTTTCATTGTAGTTTTCGAGATATGCTTGCTCGAAATAGTCAACATGTCGATATGCCGTCGGAGGAAGCTGATGGAGAGAACCTTGAGGTAGATGTGTTTGTGGATTATCAGGGAACCTTACCTCATGTCCAGTTGAGTGATGAGTTCTATGCTAAAATGGTAAAATCCTGGCAGAATGTAGTTGTGGTCAAGGCAATGGGGGCACAATTTTCGCCTCAACTGCTTTATTCGAAGCTAGTGGCGATGTGGCCGTTTATGCAGGGGTGTAGTATGATTGATTTGGAGAATGGTTATTTTCAGATAAGGTTTCAATCGAAAGAGGATGCTGTTCGGGTACTAGTTGGAGGGCCTTGGGTTGTGTCCAAACATTATTCTAAATTCTATCTTCATGTTCAGCCTTGGTCGGATTCTTTTGATGAACATTGCAATAAGATCAATTCGTTGGTGGCTTGGATTCGTTTGCCGAGGATGCCGGTGCATTTGTATCATAATAAGGTTTTTCGAGCAATCGGGAAAATCGTTGGAAAAGTGATTAAAATCGATCAGCAAACGGCGTCAAAAATTAGGGGAAAATACGCTCGACTAGCTGTTGTGCTTGATTTATCGAAGCCGCTTTGCGCCCAATTCATGATTTGTGGGAAGTTACAAAGAGTCGAGTATGAACATCTACCACATATCTGCTTTCATTGTGGACGTTACGGACATACGGTGTCGGCGTGTCCAGAGCGATTGTCGTCAGAGGGGAAAAAGGGCTCGGAAGGTCAGCGGGTCAATGGTGGAGCTCAAAGTGGTATAAAGAACACCATGCCTTTGGTTGGTAAGGATGGTGGTTCTACCTCTGGGCTTGAATCGATTAATGTTGCTGATGGTAGTGCTGGGTTGTATGGGCCATGGATGATGGCCAAAACAGCCGTTCGACCATCTGCTGGTGGCCGCAGTCAACATAGAAATGACTCTTCTCGTTTGTCGGGGTCGAGGTTTGAAGTACTAGGAGAGGATAATGGGGAGGCGTCAGGGTCTCAGCCGGATGCTTTAATGAAAACTGGGGTTTTGGGGGCTTCTCGTGAATCGTTAACGAGGTTGTATGCAGAGAAGGGGAAGGCTAAGATGGGTGTTGATGGGGATTGGACGGTGATGCCGGGGAGAAGAAAAAGGCGGGCGGCTAAGACGAGTAAGAAGGTGCAGAAAGTATCAGGAGACGAGCCGAGTGGGATCAAGACGAGTGGTGGTGAGGGACTTCATGTGGTGGAGCGATCTTCGTCTTCTCCAGCCTCAGAGACGGGATTTCTTGCTGATCTTCGTACGGCTGGTCGGGCTCTTTCCTCGCAGAATGCAGTGGTGATTCCAATGGAATCGGAGTTAGATTCTTCAAAGCATCTTGCAGTCCAAGTATTGGATTCTCCGGAGTTGAATCCAGAGCCCGCTAGTGAGTTTGATCTGGACCCAGGTGATTCAGAAATGGTAGTCGCCTCACCCCGACTAGATCCGACGCATCATGAGGGGGAACCATTTCAAATGACCGAAGGGGATATTGAAGTCCACCGGGGAATGGAGGTGGAGGACGGGAACGGATCGACTCCTGTTGATCGCGTTTGACGAATGGTACATATTATTTTTAATATTTTTATTAATGAATATCATTTCCTGGAATGTAAGGGGAGCGGCGTCTGTTGAGTTCAGACGTTCCTTTAGTTTGTTAGTGCAGCAAAATTGTCCAGATATTGTAGCAGTGTTGGAACCAAGGATTAGTGGTCCGGCCGCAGATAAGTTCATTAGGGGAAGTGGCTTCGATAATTCATTTAGAGTTGAGGCCACGGGATTTTCTGGTGGTATTTGGATACTTTGGAAGGAGGAGGTGGACCTTCGTATTATGGACTGTAGCCGACAGTATGTTCATTGTTTTGCCAGATGTCACAATGTTTCATCTTTCATTACTTTTGTTTATGCTAGTCCTAACCCGAGGGTGGGCCGTGCACTGTGGCGGGAGCTAGAGGGTGTGGCTACTAGGGTGTCAGGGCCGTGGCTGTTAGGGGGAGATTTTAACTGTCTTCTCCGAAGGTCTGAGAAAAAGGGTGGATCGCTACGGAGCTGTAACGTCTGTTCTTTTTTTTCGGACTGGATGTTTGATCACGACATGCAGGAGGTCCGTACTGATGGTGTTGAAGTCACTTGGTTCAGGACTGGGGTGGCGGAGAAACTGGATAGGTTTATTGCCAACAAGGCGTGGTTGGAATCTTTTCCTAGAGGTATGGTGTTTCATTTACCTCGTGCACATTCTGACCATACTCCGCTGTTGGTGCGTTGGGAGGGATGTGGTGTGGGGTCTCCTGGCCCGAAACCATTTCGATTTCTCGCTGCTTGGTTGACACATGGAGGGTTTGATGATCTTGTCCGTTCAGTTTGGTCACAAGGAGGGGACTGCACTTCTTTGTGGAGGGAATTTCGACGAAAGCTTCAGATTGGAATCGAGAGACCTTTGGTAATATTTTTCAAAAGAAACACTGTTTGATGCGACGAATTAGAGGGATTCAACGACAGCCTTTCTATTACTCCAATCCTTTTTTGCGGGATCTGGATCGGCGGCTGCGTGATGAACTCGATGATGTCCTTCTTCAGGAAGAACTGTTATGGCTTCAAAAATCACAGCGGGATTGGACTCTTTTTGGGGACCGAAACACTTCTTTCTATCATCGGTGTGTGAAGACCCGTCGTCGTCGAAACAATATTCAACTCTTAGTGGCTGATGATGGTAGGGTCGTCACTGATCAGCACTCTATGAAGAAAATGGCCACAACTTTCTTTAAAGATATTTACACTGTTAGGCCGGGCTTGTCGGCGAATTCTCACATTTTGGATTCATTTCCGGTAGTCGGTTCTAAGAAGTTAGCTTCCATTGGCCGCGATTTGTTGGATGGGGAGATATTTCAGTCTCTCACAAAGATGTCGTCACTGAAAGCCCCGGGGACTGATGGTTTACATGCTTTATTCTTCCAGCAGAAGTGGAGTATTGTGGGCTCGTCAGTTTGCTCCATGATTCGCGGGGTATGGCGGGGCGGTCGTGCTCCTGCTTCTGTGAACAAGACGCTAATTGTTCTCATTCCTAAAGTCGCTAACCCATCGTCTCTCAAGCAATTCATACCTATCGGCCTGCTCAATGTGGTCTATAAGCTGATCACGAAGGTTTTGGCGGAACGTATGAAATCAGTGCTCCCGACAATTATTAATCCAGCCCAGTTGAGTTTTGTGCCCGGACGCCAAATTTCTGATAATATTGTTGTGGCTCAGGAATTGATTCACTCGATGCGAACGATGCATGGAAGGCGTGGCTTATGAGGTGGTCAAAATTGATTTAGAGAAAGCATATGATTTTCTCCGGTGGGATTTTATTCGGCAGTCACTGGAGCTAGTGGGCTTTCCGGGCGTGTTTGTGAATGCAGTGATGAATTGTGTTACTTCGGCATCCATGCAGTTGTTGTGGAATGGTGGGGTTTGTGAGGAGTTCATTCCTTCCAGAGGGGTTCGCCAAGGGGACCCCATTTCTCTATATCTATTTGTGTTATGCATAGAGCGCCTAGCTCATATGATTGATTCTCCGTCAGTGCTGGACATTGGTCGCCGATTTCCGTGGGTAGAGGGGCAGTTGCTGTTCCTTACCTAATGTTTGCAGATGATTTACTTCTTTTTTTTTTAGGCTACCTCAACCCACGCACATGTTTTAAAGTCTATCCTTCATACTTTTTGCGATGCCTCCGGACTTAAAGTTAATGACACTAAAACACAAGTATTCTTTCCGAAGAATGTGTCGTCTGATGTGCGGGAGTCTTTGACTCGTCAGTTGGGATTTATGGTGGTGGAGAATCTTGGCAAGTATCTCGGAATGCCGTTGATCCATGGTCGAGTTACAAAATCTACCTATAGGGAGTTGTTGGACAAGGCAGAGAAACGACTTGCTGGATGGAAGGCTTCTACTCTTTCGATGGCTGGAAGGGTGGTTCTTACGCAATCAGTGTTGAGTTCACTGCCTTATTTTTCGATGCAAACGGCTCTGATACCTGATGGGGTTTGTGATGCGTTGGAGCGTAAGTGTCGGAACTTTATTTGGGGCGGTTCTGAAAACAAACGACGAGTTAGTTTGGTATCATGGGCTGAGGTCTGTCGTCCAAAGGAGGAGGGTGGACTTGGTATGAAGATGCAGAGGTGTATGAATAAGGCGTTACTGTTGAAGTTGGCTTGGAAATTTCTCACGCAGCCTCAGTCGCTCTGGGTACGAGTGGTCAGTGCGAAGTATGGATTATATCTTGAGCATATGGGGGAAGAGTTTTCTTTTCCTCGGGGGTCGACTGTACTAAAGACATTAAGGAGTGTTTGGAAGGATGTGATTGTCGGCACTAGGTGGTCAATTGGGAATGGTGGACGGGCTCTTTTTTGGTGGGATAGATGGCTACATGGTTCGGAGCCTCTGATTACGTATGCTACTGGTTCGGTTCCGGAGCATTTGCTCATGCACTGGTTTCGGCATTTGCAACCGCTGATGGTTGTTGGCACTGGCGCCTTTTTTGGCACCTTGTCCCCGCCACTTGTCTGCTCAAAATTGCAGCTGTTATGCCCCCCAAACCGAATGGAGACGATGACGTCCGCTATTGGGGAAATTCCCCAGATGGGAGGTTTACGACGTGGTCGGCTTATGTAGCTCTTGCGAATCCATCGACTTCTAGGCGAAATCGCTGTTGGCGATTGATTTGGAGGTGGACGGGTCCACAATGGATCCGACATTTTTTGTGGCTTGCGTTTCGCGATAGTCTTCTGACAAATGAGGCACGCCAGCACCGCCATTTAACAGAATCATCATACTGTACAATTTGCATGGAGGCCGGTGAGTCCACGCTGCATGTGCTGCGTGACTGCCCTATAGCGGCAGCTACTTGGTGTAAGTTGTTGTCTCGGGATGCATAGGCAACCTTTTTCTCTATCCCCCTACAGGCATGGGTTTGCGCAAATTTGGATGGGACGTTGATGCAAAACACCGAGGATTGGCCGTCCATCTTTTGAGTTACGGCTTGGAGTATGTGGCGATGGCGAAACTTCACGATTTTTCGTGGTGAGCACCAGTCTGTAGATTCTCGTGTGCATGACGTCCTTTCTTTCGTCCATAGCATTGATGCGGCTGCAGCTAGTGGTGGTTTGTTAGGAGCAGTCGGCCAGCGTGAACAACGATGGATAAGGTGGAAACCGCCTGAGGAAGGAGTGGTAAAGGTTAACACAAATGGCAGTCACTTATCGAGTACGGGTATGGCTAGTGCAGGCGGTGTTATTCGAGACCATATGGGGAAATGGCTCAGTGGGTTTGTGATGATCATTGGGTTTTGCTCTGTTATTGGGTTTGTTCCAGGGTCTGACGCTTGCATGGGAGATAGGGGCCCGCAATGTGATAGTGGAGGTAGACAATCAGAGTGTTATCGCGATGGTCCGTGGGGATGATGGGTGCGGTATCCATAGGGCAATTCTACGAGGGATACGGGAGATGTTAGGCCGAACATGGCAGGTGGTTTTACAGCATGGGTACCGAGAAGCGAATTTTGTTGCCGATTTTTTGGCATCCCTAGCGGCACAGGGGCCTGTCGGAGTTCAACGGCTGGATGCTCCTCCCTCAGGTGCGAGGACTTGACTTACTCATGATGTGGTCGGGGTGTCGTACCCCAGGAATGTGTTGGTATCGTCATAATTAGGCTTGGCCTCCATTTATTCTTGT